TCTAAGAATAAAAAACTTCCAATTTAATAGTTAAATTTACAAAATTTATATTTAATATAAAATTATTGAACAATATAATATTTAGTAAAAATTATATTGATATTATTATAACACTCATCATATATTTATTTATTATTATTGTATGTTATATACTATTGTCGTATGTTATTAAAATCTACAAAAAAGAATGTCATATACTAATAGTAAAAACAAATAGGTGGCAAACTTGCTGCCATCAGTATAATCTATGTCAATAAAAATTAAACTATTAGTATTTTTTTTATCAGTATTAAACTATTAGTATAATATAATAAGTCTATACTATTAATACAATACTATATTTGAACAATTTGATACATGGATTTGCTAATTTCTTTTAGTTATCAAAGGAAGTATCGTTAATATGCAATGAGTAATTTCATAATATTTATATAAACAGATTAATTTTTATTAAAAAATAAGTAATCAGATAAAGACCAAACCAAAATTTAATGGTCAAAATATTATATATTTTAGTATACAAAATTAAAAGTTTTAAAAAAAATCGAGGGGAGAAAACTCACCTTGACTTAAATTTGTGTATGAGATCACAACCATAAATTTTTTTTTGGAGAATAAGAAAACAAGTTTGAACAACTCCTTGCAATCTTGCTAGTTAATTTATTTGCATTGCCATTTTTGGATTGAAAGCACAAATAAATTAAATAAAATAATAAATGAAATATTTAACCTAAACATTAAGATTATAATAAAAATATTGATAAGAAAATTATAATAAAAATATTGATAAGAAACTTCAAAATATTAATGAGAATGGAGCATGTGATCTATCCCATATACTTCATTATATTTTTCTTTTATAAGAGTAAGCTTATTAATCTATTTAAAAAGCATTACTACAGAGTAATTTTTTATTCAAATAAAATGTAAATTTTAAAAATAAAAATCCAGGCCAATTTAGTCGAAGGTTATGTCAAGCTTTAAAATTTTCGAACCAAGTGAAAAAGTTAGAGTTATATATTTGAAATGTAAACATGCCTTTATAATGATAAAACTTAATTTAACCTAATTAAAGAAATTAATAAGAAAACACGAGGTATTTTCACATACTCACTTAACACGAGTTTTAAATTAAACTGGACTATTTTTTTAACGGATACCTCAATATCTTTTTTTTTTAAATACTCTTTTTATTGATTAAAATTATTAAAAATTATAAAATAAAAAAAAATCATTAAATAATATATAAGACTTACTAAAATTTATAATTTTTAATATTTCACTAATCAAAAGAGTTTATAATAGAATTTGTTCATATCATTATTCATCATCTTTTGTCACACTTAATAATTAAATATTTAATATTTTTTTCGAGTTTCTTATGCTAGTTTTCCTTTAAAGACAATCCCGAAAATCCTACTTGAATTGTGATCAAATAATAAAATGAGTTGTGCTATATCCTTCAATTTGAATTGTCAAATCATCTATCAATCAAATGAAAATATTTATCACTAGTTTTACTGTACAAGTGCTATTATGTTTTTGGCTTATCCTTTCAGAGGATTAAGCATGTTTCTATTAAAATACATCTCTCTTTTGCAAAAATTTAAATATCTTTTAGTCATTTTTTAAAAGAAAAAAAGTTCCTTTCACAAAATTCCAAGTGCAATTGATATATAAATGATTAATATTGCATATTTTATCTTGGACTTTTTTTAGATTATTTAATCTAATAATAATAATAATTCATGTAAATAGGGAATAATTTTTAATGAAAAGATGTTTAATGTCATAGTTGTTAAATTCAAAATATATTAAGAGTTATTGAGAATTATTTTTAAGTTATTAAAATTATTTTTTCTCTTTTCTCACTTTGTTGAGGGTATTTTTGACATTATAGAAAAAGAATTTGAAAAAAGAGATCACGGAAGTTTGATAATAGTGAAAAGTATGTTATCTAGACTTTCTCATAGAAATTACCAAATATGATAATAATAAGAAGTATGTTATCTAAGATTCAAAGAGTGTAATTTTTTTTTTTTGTATAGTGAACACTATGAAATTATATTTGATCATAAAATTTGCTAACAGTTCTATCACATGATCATGAATTTGTTGAGGCCGGTCATTTTTTTTTTGTTTATTGGTTTACTTGATAGATTTCTCACAATTGACTTGTCAATAATGTTAAATTGTGAATAACTCTTATTCAATTTCATGAATTATCTTGCATTATCTATTTTGGACATACAGTAGAAACTCTTTAAATTAATAATGTCAGGACCGGAGAAATTTATTAATTTAGAGAGTTATTAATTTATCGATAAATTAATAATTATTAATTTAAAGAGTTTTTAAGTAATTATACTGTACATACCAAACAAAAAAGTAAATTAGTCTATGCCTCTTAGAATTACGTTGCAGCGAACCTTGGGACTCAACGTAAATTAGTAACTTTTGAAGTACATATGCATTGAAAATTAATACGTAATGACTTTTGAAGTACATATGCATTGGAAATCAATAATGACTTTTGAAGTACAGTAAATGTAAACAAGAGGAACAATTGTGTTCAATGTATTCTTAAGCAAGTTTGACATATATAAATTACATGAATGTGTTAGAGTATTCAAACCATATCTTACGAGATGGCTTCTCATCTAAAAGGTGTTGCAAAATCAACTATGTCAGATCAAATACGTAAGGAGTTGTGTGAGTATAAGAGAGATAATCCTGCAAGTCATGAATCATATTTCAATAGAGATGAACTCCAAATAGACTTGAACTTTAAAGGAAAACAGACAACTATTGAATCATATTTCAATAGAGTGTAATATATTTTTTTCAGTTTCTATGAATTATTAATTTATGATTTTCTTGGGACCGAAAATTATAAAGAGATCTCCCGAAAAATTATTATCTTATTATTTTATCGAGTTTTTCAATTTTTTACATTGGCCCAAGTCGGGACCGGACAAATTTATTATTTTAGAGAGTTTATTAATTTACCGAGTATTAATTTAAAGAGTTTCTACTGTATATGGCTTCACATTTTTAGTCACAATCAACCTCATCAAGTTTAGTATCAATTTCTTAGATTGCTCCCAAGCCTCATAGAGAGACTTGTTAGCATCAATACTAGTCTCTTTAATGAATGGAGGGTTTTCATTCATTACCAATGCTAAGTCTAAGTCCACTACACTTAATTGAAACTGAATCATTTCAAACCAATCAACATAGTTTATCCCATTGAACTTGATCATTAAGTTACCCAAAGCAAACATATTGGATATAGCTATATACATTTAAACAAAAGTGCACAATAATGCTTTGAGTAAAACTAATGGATTAAAAACCATATTAACTTTAATTATGCATCTAAGTTCACCTTTGGGTGAAAAATAAATATAAATACACATGAATAATGATGCCAAACAAATATATTTTAATGGTTGATAAATCATAACATTCTTGATATGCATGTTATCTTTGGATATACACACACTCAACAAGCATGAAAACAAATCTTTTAATATCATTAATTATAAGCAATGATTCACCTTTGGGTAATCTATGTATGTTTGATAATTAATAATTTTAAACAACCCAAATATATTAATTACATAGCATCATTATTCTAATCAATCATGTAACTCGAAATTATATATAAATCCATAGATTAAATCACTTTGATGATTAACAAGCCTTACTTTGCAGATTGCTCTTAACCCTTTTCTAGTGAAGTTGTAGGGTGATCTTTGAATTGAGCTTGAAGAAGTTCATTTTAGAGAAAAGCTTTTTTGGTTCTAAAAATCCAAATGTAGATGGCTACAATATGGAGACCACAACACAAAGTTTTTTCACTTGTCTAATTTTATTAAACAAAGAAGAAATTTCTATGAGTACCATCAGTTTGAAAATGGGGATTGGATCCATGATTAGCAACTTATCGAGCAAGAAGTTACTTATCACTTTAATGATAGATTCACGGGTATGGCTTCCTTGGACACCTTCAGCCTCCATAAATGTTTCTCCCTTATCTCATGAGGAGCTCCAATACTTGGTCAAGGAGGTCATTAATTCTAAGATTAAGCAAGCCCTCTTTGAAATGGGTAATCTTAAGGATCTTAAAAATGATGGATTCCAACTACTCTTTTACTAGAGTCAATGGGAGTCATTTGGTAGAAGCCTTTGTAATCTGATACCAAGTATGTTTACTAACCTGACAAGTGTGGTGGATGTCAATAGTACATTAATTGTCCTCATCCCTAAGGAGGAAAATGCTTATTAGTTGTCGCAATTCTACCCTATTAGTCTCAACAATGTCTCATATAAGATCCTCATCAAGATCTTGGCCAAAAGATTGAAAGGTATTATGGGAAGCTAGTTAATCCTATCCAATGTAATTTCATTCCTCACAAGAAAAGTCGTGATAACGTCGTCTTTGAATAAGAGGTTTTCCATTCTATGAAGACTAAGAAAGGAAAGAAGGGTTGGATGGCTATCAAGTAGGATATGGAGAAAACTTATAATAAGTTGGATTGAGAATTCATCAAGGATACCTTGCAAGTTATTGGCTTTCCTTTTCATGTCTTCCCCATTTATATAGGTTCTTTAGGATGGGGAAGCTTTATAACGCTTCAAACCTTCTAGAGGAATATGTCAAGGGGACTCGATTTCTCCTTATCTTTTTGTTTTATGTTTGGAAAGACTATCCCAACTTATAGAAGTGGTTGTTAATTTGGGCCTTTGGAAACCTATATCCCTCTTAAAAGAAGGACTGAATCTAGCTCACTTGGCTTTTGTGGATGACATTATTGTGTTTGTAAAAGCCAATATGGATCAAGCAACTATTATCCACAAGATTGCCTTACCCACTATTGTCAAGCTTTTCGTTAAAATATTAGTTGTGAGAAAACAAAGATTTTATTCTCCAAAAATGTCAACTAGGGGGCGAGGGATGAGGTGAGCTCCAAACTCAATTTTGGTGGAATGGATGACTTAGAAAAGTATATTGGCATCAAAATACATCATAAAAGGGAAAACAAAAACTCCTTCAAGCATATTCTTGATAAAGTGGCTTCTAAAATGTCATCTTGGAAAACTTATATGTTTTTCTTTTAGTCATAGAACTTTGATCAAATCTATTTTATCTACTATCCTTTCTTATGCTATGCAATCTGAGAGATTGCGTAGGTTAGTTTGTGATGATTTAGATAAGACTAGTCGTGATTTTCTTTGGGGTGGTCTTATTGGGAGCAAGGAAAATTCATACAGTTGAATGACACTCAATTTGCCTCCCCAAGGGTATGATTGATTTGGATATTAGAAGTATGTGACAAGTCAAGGATGCTTATTTGATGAAGTTGGCTTGGGAACTTTATTTTGAAAGAGATAAGTTTTGGTCAAGGTTATTCGTGGTAAATATCGATGTGGTGATCAAATCATCCATGTAGTTTATTTTAAAGACTGGATTCTAGATGTTGGATTGGTATAGCTCATGTTTGGAATATTTACATGGATTTGATCAAATGGAGGGTGGAGGATAAAAACTATTATGTCTTTCTAGACTGATGATGATTAGGTTGAAAATATAGGGGGACTGCAAGACTATGTTGTCAAGCCCCTTCATCAATCTGACCTTATGAAAATAGTAACTTAGGCTTTTTCCTTGATTGGAGAATGAGATAGGTGTTATCTTCATGAAATGTTACCCCCAACATGTCTACCATAACATTCTAGTTATGTCAGCTCCTTCTTCTCTCTAGAAACTGACTTTCTTAGAAGTTGACTTTCTTAAAAGTATACTCCTGATGAAATTTTTAATCTTACCCCTTCTTACATCAATGTTATGAATATGACCCCAATCCATAACACTCCTATCTTTAGATGCATCTAGGTTTAGCTAGGACTCAATTGTACATGGAGCTTCTTGTGGAAAATTTTTCATAATGCTCTGCCTAATAATTAATTAGGTTTTTAAAGAGGATGTCTAAAGACAATAAATGCCCCATATATCATTGCCATGAAAAATCTATTATGCATTCCATGAAGAGTCCATATATTGCTAAAGAGAAAAAAATATGTTAGTTAAATTTTTTTTTAAAAAAATATCACGATTGATGGATATATCCTATGATGTTTCAAAAGAAACTGTGGGATGTGCTGTTCTCCATTTAACTGTAAATTTATTAAATTTGATTTTAAAAAAAATAAGGCAATGAAATAAATGAAAATAATGCGTGCAATTACAAGAGGAACTCTAGAGGATTGGATCCGATCCATGGACTTTTTTTTGACTGAATATATTTAATTCGTTACTAAGAAAATTAGTTAAGGTGACAATAATTTGTTCAAAATAAATTTATTAACGATTGCATTTTAATTGAACTATTCAAAGTTTCAAACTGTCGGTATACCTTTTCTCTTGGTAATAGTTTCCATATATACTCACTACTAATAAAGGGAAGGGTCCCTTTATTCACTATTTATATTCTTTTAGAATGCGGTTTTAATAATTTAAGTCAGTTTAAAAACAACATATATACACACAGTATGCAAATGTTTCTCCTTTTTCATGCATCTGTCGCATTGCCTCAGAACTCATAATATAATCACATAAGTAAATTTTTTTAAAAAGTTAACGGCAAAGGGCCAGTCAATAGGTAATATTTAAATAACTTATGAAAAGTTTCAAGTGCCAGCCTACCACCAAAATTTGCCAGTGTCATTATAAGAAACCCGGAATGATCACAAATTGTAGTCTCTTTCAAATATTGGTTTTCGTAGGTATTTTTAATACATGACTTGTGAAAAAAGAATTGGATAGGCTGCAATTAAGTTGTGAAAAATTCCATTCATTACCTATAATAAACGAAAAAACAAAAGCCTCATATTCACTTTTCACGGACGTTTTATTCTATTTCAATTGGCATGACATTGTATGTTGAAATATTTTATAACTATTTTTACGAGAATACTTGATATTTCCTCAGAATTGAGAGTGAAATATTGCTAGTCGTACTCTAAAACAGACTTAAAGGAATAGCTTTTGCTTTTAAGAATATTCGCTTGGTTACTCAAATGCAACTGAAATCACACGGTGAATTTGTACAATCGAAAGAACATTTGCACGAGCATCCAAACATTTAATTTTCAAATTCACTTAAAAAAAAAACTTAAAAATATTAATTTAGGAACGTCATGTAACGATTTTCACTTCAATATACCTTTTGCGATATTCAGTATTCACGTGCAGAACAACAACGCTCCTAGTCCTAAGTAATATCAGAATGCCCAAAATTTTGTATACCCTGCATTTTCCAAAACCGAGACTTTAACATCACAAAATTTGGCGTAGTGCTTGTTCAGCAATAAAATTTATACCAATAAATCTGGTTTTCAAGTTGGCTGAAGTTTCATATTTTAAAGTTATGCGTCTAAGATTGATTGGACCTGGCTCCCAGATATGGGCAGCTTCAGATATCTCCCAGTACCATGTGTATCGAATGGCTTGAAAATGTATTTCACGAAAAATGAGTTAATCCTACCTTCCCCAAGTTTGAGACACCTTTTGCCCAGTATTTATCCCAAGTGACTCAACGAAACATTCAGGTCACAAGAAGCCAATTACAAAAAGTCATCAATAACCCAAAAGTGTGGCAACGAATTACCTGAACTTTCCGCTTCCAACCACATGTAACTAAGTGAAACATTACTCTACATTGCAAGAAATTGGTTTAAACTGGAAGTTCTCTTCAGAAGCTAGGCCTCAAACCATGTTGGGCCTCTGCGGGAGCAGTAGATTATAAAACTTATCATGCAAGAAGAAATTCCTTCCCTTGTTATCAACGGCCTTTTTCCAACCACACCATCCCCCATTAACTATTTTCTTCAGATCTTCAGTACCTGTATAGTGCGGATCTAGTATTAAAAATGCACAATCTCCACTTGCTTCATTGTAATCCACTCCCAAGAGTGTATATGCAAGTACACCACCACCTGCATTTAGAAACCAAACCGTTGAGAGACAAAATTAGTCATAGCCTCCCTTACCAAAAACTTCCAATAGCAATACATACAAACATAACACAAATTATATCGAAAAGAATATGCAAATGAAATATATACTGAATCAAATCAATTGTACTTGGTAAGGACTCGCATGAACTAGTTTTTGGTTCAGTTAACTGGTGTAAGAAAATGCAAACCAGAGAGAGTCCTTGTACTTAAGGTAATTTATTCGAACCTAGAGACGTGCTATGCTCACCATCCTCTCAATCCACCCTCCCTCCTTTCTCTAACCCTCAATTGACGTTATGAAGCAACTGAGCTTGTCCAAGACCTCGTCCCAGACAACACCAGTCCCTCTGCCACCGCTGAAGAGGTCCTCATCAAGTTCCCTGGTGCCATTCTCCACCTCATCAAGTACAGTGATGAGCCTGCCTAAAGCACCTTCCTATCATTTCTCTGCCAGAGCCAGAACATCAACACCATTTACGCCTTCATACTCACTGGCATGATCCAATTAGTACCAGGCTTCAGTCAAAGTCAACTCCCCACATGCACCACTACTACTATTGTGTCCCCAAGGAAGATTCTAACTTCAGTAACAAGGTGCAGAAGATTATTGCGATGACCAGAATGCAAGGACAAGGGGAGAGTTCCACCTTGCTGAGCTATGTTTTTGCAGAGCACAGCAGCTTCTCAAAGTAGGAAGGGTCAGAAAGAAGTTGGGATTCTTATTAATTTTAAGCGAGAGGAGATTTAGTGGATTTGTTTATAATGTTAACCAAATTGGATTGCCAGTTTGGTCCATGAACTGTTTTGAAAATTTAATTCAGATCATTTAACTGTTATAAAAAACTAATCCAGATTATTTAACTGTTTTAAATGTAGGGCCCGATAGTCCACCTGTTCCTCCACCATAGTATGATATTGTCCGCTTTGGGCTAGACCCGCATGGTATTGTTTTTGGGCTCCTTTCCAAAAGGCCTCATACTATATGGAATGGTAGACACCCTTATAAACTAGCCAATGTTCCTTCATTTTACAGATGTGGGACTTGGGATGAATCCCAACAAACCTCCCCTCAGACCAAGGACCACATGTCTCGTGACCTCCTCCCCTCAAGCGATAATCCGCTACCATCTTGTACCGCCGTTAACTCTACGGGACACGCCGCCTGAACACCACAATATCAGGAAGACTTTCGACACAAGGCACCAAGTTCGGATCTCCATCGCGAGGCACAACACTGAGGGTCTTCCCGCATCAAACCCAGACGAACCCAGCTGATATGCTAACTAAGACTGTTACAACTGACAAGCTGAGGCTCTGCACTACCTCAACTGGTCTTCAAGGATAATTGAAGATGAAGACGTTGCACTAGGCGAAGGAGCCGATGAACTCGATGCTTACAAGGAAGCTAACTAGAACTCAGACTCCAAGTGGGAGAATTGTTAAGTGTGTAGTCTAAGTTTTAGTCCCACATTGTTTAGCTTGTAATGCTTGCCTCCTCTTTATGCTATATATATAGAGGCACCTTGTAAGGTTCTAATGCATTAAAATAAAAACTCTTCCTAGTGTAACCGTGGATGTAGGTACATACATAGTGTGCTGAACCACGTAAATAGTTGTGTTCCTCTTTCCTTTTTATTCTCTTTTAATGCCTGTTGCCTAACATTAAAAGGTGCCGTTCAGTTTAGCTCAGTCTGGTTTGGTTCTCTGAACAAGCCCAAGATATACAGTTAAAAGCAAAAAATTATATATAGTTCACTAACCAATCATAACAGGTGTACTTTGGGTCTCAAAGTGCAATGCTAGCTCTCGACATTTTTCCGGAAGCTCAGCTCCAGATCTAACATTGATGACCTTGCAAGTAACCTGTTAAAGAAAGTAAACCACCCAACCAAATCATTGAGAACTCAATTAGGCTCAAAACAACACATATCTCATGAACTTTGTTCAGTAAAGGATCAAGAATTTAGATTCTAGTCTTTTTTGGGGTGGGAGGTTCAAAATATCTTGATTCTAGACCGAGAACCATAAGCTCAATGTCCAGTTGGGCCCAAAAACAGTTTAATAATAAATCTACAGTTGAAGTGTTGAATTGAACGTTAAGAAATGCTAAGATGAGCGAATACTTACACCTAGAAGTTTGTCCAAAACAAAGCTCAACTCGATGGCACCGATCCATTCTCGTGATCCAACAAAAGAAGGGTCTTTATCACCAATCTCAACAAGTGTCTGCTGTATTTCCCTGAGAAAGTTGTAGGTTTGTCAGGTCAAATCATGATCAAATGCATGAATATGACAAAACAAGATTTTGCTTGACATGAGTGAACTTCATCCAGAGTGCCAGACTGACTGATTCATCAAATTTTACACTTAAATGAAAAGCAAGCAACCCTTTAAAAGACCAATTAACAATTCATTACACAAGAAAAATAAAAATGTAGTAAAATTTTAAACCTGAAGAGACAATAAGGAAATAACAGAAGGAAAGGTATCTCCCCTCGAAAGAAAATCTACAATCAGAGGGGAGTGAATATAAATACCTATGAGAAGGAACTTCTATGGATGTATAGTTTTGGAGTCTGAACCATGAAATTATAGTCTGGAGAGAGCGGTACGCACAACCCCATCCCTATAAAAATCAATGTAAGTGATTTAGTATTAGATTGACTATATTGTAGTTTGCAGATGTAATGATATTTTGTTTTAAGATGTTCATTGACTGGACCAGAAGTCAGACACAGTAACTAGGGCATCAACACACAGACTGATTAGTTTTATGCCAAAGTAGAACCTAGTTTAGATAGGAAACACGAAAATTCTTCAACAACACAACTCAAGTCTAGTTATTTCAAGTGCTAACTGCCATCAACCTTACATTTCCATGGTACATGTAAGTATTTTGTCACCTTATTGCAAAAGCATTTTTAGCAGTAATTCAATAGGAGAAATGTACTTATTAATGTTGCAGTTGCCTGTCAAATAATCTTAAAAAAAGGATTAAAATATTATCACTGAGGAAAAACCACAAGAACCTAACAGATGAGAAAGGAGCTTAAAAGCACAATAAAATGGAAACAAGAAGTGGGACTTGTTGAGTGACAGAAGGTCAAAAAGCAAAAATCCTGCTCCCAAATAATATGCATAAGATTACAAGTCATCCCAGAAGTAATAGTGAGAACAACAAATAAAGAAAGCTTTAAGTGAAAGCTAATAAAAATTGATTCACCAGCATTTGATTCCCCCAGACTACTTTTTAATGGGAAAAAAGTCATTGATCAATGTTAAGTAATTGATAATGCATTTGCAAAAGCTCAAATGGAAGCTTGATATAGTGGCCTGCCTGCAGCTCCTGAAAAATGGCTACTGAAGTGTCCTTCTATTTTAACATAGAGATCAGGTGCTACATATCAAAAGTCAGAATGGTAGCTCAACTATACAGGGCATTGGAACACTTCATTTTATATGGCACAAAAAAAGTGATCCTGTTCCAGAATCCAGACCTTGTCCAGGCAGCAGTAGCCAAGTCATATAACATTTTTTATTTGAAATAGCAGAAAGGATTTGGCAACTCAAGGAAAGACCAATGACGCCAAGTCTATGTTTCCACAAGTTGCATTCTTTGGGCAGCTACACATCAGATGACCTTCTCTTTCACTTATTCTCATTTCCTTTCATTGGTGATCGTAAGTTCTAATTTCATATACAATAACTTTGTCATTCATAGTTTCATGCAGCATTATACACAAAAAGTCACACTATTAATAGACTGATTTTATTTTATTTTTATTATGATTTTCACAGACAAATAAGTTGGAATGTATTTAAAAGATTACTTAAAAAAGAGAAACTTTCACCATCATACTTTTCATCATTTAAAAAAAAACGTTTTCCCTGTATCTAAACCATAATTTGCAACTGCATAAACACGATTATGTTAATCAGATAATCTTTAACCACTCAGCAGTAACAAATGACGTTTGTCTGTGTTCAAACTTAAATATCCACCACTTAGATGTGTAATTTCAATGGAGGTCAAGAAGATAAAGATTAGATGTTAGTTCATAACATGTTACAACCATTAGCGAGGAGAAGAATTGTAATTACCGAATCATTATAACCATCCTGAAGATAATGAAAGTATTCATAGGAACCTTGAACAAGGGAAACAGTTCCCCCAGTAACTGCATAAACCACAACCATTTCAAACGAAAAAATAAAAAGAATTACATTCAGAATGAGAGCACAGACCATAACAGCAACTTACCTCCACTACTTGGAATCCCAGTGTGAACATTTTTGAGTAACGTTGAACCTAATATTACCCATGGATATTATGAAACTTAGAACATATGATATATGTTAAGGAGTTAGTATTAGACAATAGAATATGTAAAGATTCAATCGCAATCATAATCCTCAGCACTTATAGAGCATATAGAACTTCCCATTCAAATGTATATATTACCTTTCTGCAAAGAGACAATATCATTTTTCTTCAATTTTGAAAAATCCAAGGCATTAGAAATTCTTAGAAGGGGACGGTCATAAGGTAATCCCAACCTTGAGTGCAAGGATCTCCTAACTTCAACTGCAGAAAGCATGAACAATTCATAGATCACTAATACTAACACATGCTGACAGCATAAATTATCAGGCAGATTTGAAAAGCCCAAAGAGTCAATAGATACATTACTCTCTTAAATTTAGAAACAGCATATAATATAGCTTCATTATATATTTTCAATCGACAAGTAAATCATAAAAGAATCATCCTATCATTGCCAGTGTTCAACAGCATACCTTGCTTCATTTCTGTCTCCCCAAAACTCAGTTCATAGAAAACAGTTATTGGGTGCAGAATCCCAGGAGGACTAAAGTGATAAGATTTTAACTGACAAATAAATAAATTGAAAGTCAACCAAAAGAACAATATGTATTAAAAACATAAGTGGAAAGAAAACTTTATTATGAAGAATCAATATAAACTAAATTAAATAATAAAAAGTAAAAAAAAACAGAAATTATATTATTCACAAATAAAATAAACTTATTTCATGAATTTGACCTAATTGGTCACTAATATTAATCATCAGGGTGTTTCTTGAAAGTAGAACAATGCTTTTTCACATAACATAATTTCATTATGACAGAATATGTAGCAGGATAGGTTCAGCCAAAAATTTATAGCATGAGTGCCTCGCATCATTATATACTAATTACTAACTTTGTCCTCCAAATACTCATAATCCTTGGTATCTATCAAGTTGATATAGGTCTGGCTTTCTTAACCATTTAAACTTGAACCATCCCAAAATTATAAAACAGATCTTCATAAATTTGAAAGTTCAGATGAACACTGTTATATGTAATTAACCTGGTGCATTATTGGTGGGCTGTATCATACAAATAAATAATGTACATATTTGAGAGTATATTACTCTTGCAAGACAAACGCCAAAAGTCCATTTGAAAATTGTAATGATAAGATAGATAAGTCATTTTACATCCATTAACTAAGAAGGAGGATCAAGATCTTCTACAGTTCAAATTCTAACTGTATGGCCTGGAGTTCAATTCCATGACAATAAGTTTTTAGGTATATTTAAAAAGTTTTATTTTTCTATAAATTTATATATTTTTAATGGTTGGGACTTGAGATCATCTGCAACTGAAATTTGAACAGCAGAGGATCCTGAGCCATAGAAGGATGATCTTCTTGTGAATTGGAATAGTGGGGGAATAGTAGAACCTTGGAAAGCTTATGTGCGGGAAAGATGAATACATTGCCTCACCCGAGGATGTTGTGCCAAAAGGTTAGGCAACATCAACTTCTGCACTACATTTAACTGGTCAACTAAGCCAGGGATGATTAAACTTGAAACTGCATATTTCAGTGGAAGCTCCCTAGAAGAATAGCAGAGTACATCTAGCTTAATATCCACAGTAAGGAGTCTAGTTTCTTCCTGGACTGAAAGCAATAATTCAACTTCAATTAAGAAATGCTAAAACACAAAGTTAAAAGTAAATCGTATTTCTCAATGAGCAAATATTGGACATCAAATACAATCCTCAAATCCAAACCTGGAAAGTATTCTGCAACAGGCACGGTAGAAGCTGATGATGACCCTAAGCTATTAAAGAGAACACTAACTTGGATAGTATCTGCATTCTAAGAAGAAGAAAATTTCACAAAATGGATGGTGGTAGTCATTTGACAATTCATGAAGTACATGGCAGAAAGGAAAAATAAAGACAAGATAAAAAAAAAATTATAAATACTATCAGAAAATATAAGAAAAAACTAAAAAGTTGAAAGAAAAGGGGAGAAATATTACAAAGAATATCCTAAGCTTTTATGTTACCTCTGCAGAAAAAACTGGTGAGCCTGCTTTACTGCTGATGGAAAAGTATGAACATGATAGTGAGCTTGCACTGAAGCCATCTTCACCCTCAGACAAAGGCTTGATCTTGGAAAGGTCTGTGTAAAAGTCTAATTGTAAACCTCGAATTATGATAGGGGGTATATCCTGAGAGGTTTTGTTAGACGTTTCCAACATGTACACAGCCTGAGGATCTCTTAACTTGGCAACAACAGCTTCAGTAGCCTGTACATATGCTTTCTCAACATCTGCAGAACAAATTTGCCCAAAATTTATGGCATTTAGAACCTAATGATTGTGATAGATGCATCTTAGATAATTCACAGCTGTCCAAATAATATCATGTGCATCATCTGTACACTAAAACCTACACAATTTCTATTACATTAACATTGAACTGATGAATTTCACATATTGACTCCCAGCAGTTGTGTGGAATTCAGAATTTGTACGCAGGATCTTAGTTCATTGTCCAGTGTACCCTATACTTTGTAACCCACATTATTTTGTCTCTCTCATATGTAATAATATGTTGGTTCTATTTAGAAAAATCTTCTCCATAAATATTTATAGAAAAATTATATAAAAAGGTAAACTGAATTGAGCTTCTCTTGTAAGGTAACAACAACTTATGTACTTAATTTTCATAGAAACTCTCTCATCTAACTTCTCCAAAAGATGAAGTGCAAAAGTTGATTTTAGCTAATGGGAGGAAGCTCAGTTCATTTTACCTTTTTTATGTTCTTCTCCTATAAGTGCTTATAGAGAAGTTTATTCAAACATGGTATTATTCTATAACATCTTGAACTCAATTAAAGTACTTTCAGCTAGAAATTTCATTGTACCTCACAAGTTGAGTCATGTGCTCAACAACTCCATCAACAAAAGGTACTACTCAATCAACATAAGACAAGAGAGCCGAACTTGAACATGGTATCCTGCTCAATCACTACTTTACACCTCTATGTATTGCCTTTATGTTTCTCACAAAGCCCAAACTCTACTTAGTTCAATAATAGGGCAATTCAAAATTTAAGTAAACATAAAATAAAACCATCTAAGGAGACGTTTAGAAGAACTTCCAAGGACCTTAATTGGACTTAGGTTTGATTGGATAAAGTTTTTCATTAAAACTTTCATGAGGAAAAAAAAAAGGAAAAATGAAATAAGTTTCTTTATGATCTAAAATTAGCTTATACATAAGTTAATTTGTAAAAATTCTCTCATAGTTTCTCTATAAACTTATTTTTAACTTTTGCATAAGCTAGTTTTAGCTTATGCAGCTTATTTACTTCTCCTAGAAGTGGTTAAGGGGAAGTTTATCCAAAGAGACCTTATCCTACTGACCCAAGAACTCTAGCAAGTGTTTGGTTAAAATTATAAAAGTGGCTTATGAATTATGATCTTCCTATTAGCTCCGTTTAAAATCTCAAATGCAAACCTAAAGCGACGTGTATAACCTACAATTACAGAATACAATATAGTCAATCAGATATCATCAATCAACAACTTCGTTAGAGAGAGCGAGGATAAGCGAAACGTACCAGTTGGATTTTTGAGAGCATAATAGAGCGGCAACTTAATCGGAAGCTCACAGTGAAGCAAGCAACCGTTCTCCCACACATACTTCTCCGGATGCTGTTCCTCTATCACCGACGTAACAGCTTCGAGGCTCGCCGCATTTCCACTCTCAGACACGAAAAACCGCAGGTCGCCGGAATGCGAACCGCGAACTGCTCCGATCACCGGCCGCTCCGTTCCTTCGCCGTAGAGAAGGCTCCTCAACGCACGTGCGGCGTCCACGGGCGCACGAGCGTCGGCTTCTCCGTCGCCGGAAGCTAGGGCGCCGATGACCTCGAAGCCTTTGGGGATGAGTGTCCGAAGGTCGTGCGATTCGTTGGGGAAATCGGAGGGGAGGGCGTGGACGCGGCGGAGGAAGGAAGCGACGGTGAGTGGCGGGAAGAATGGGGATCCGATAAGCCAGAAATGGATTTCCGGGTCGGATCCTTTGGTGTTTAGTTGCTTCGGGTTGCATAGCAGTCTCACGTTGCGATTGCTATCACCCGCCATCAAAATCCTCTTTCTTCTGTCCAAATTTCAATTCAATAAAACAATGGAATCAGAGGTAAAGTTATACAATATTTTTACACTAACGTATATAACATTTAAATTATAGAACGTAGTCAACGTACTACACTGATTTATTTATTTATTTATTTTAATTATGCTCACATTCTTTCTACTTCATCCGCTTACATTATTTTTATTTCATTCCAGTAAAATATAATTTTAAAGTTTATAATAATTCTAATATTATAAATTTAAATTATCTTTTAAAAATAAAATAAATTCTTCATTTTTATTATTTCTTATAACTATATAACCATATTATTTATGACATTTTATAAAATTTTATACCAAAAATTAATCATATAATTATTTTTAAATTGCCAAGTAAAATAAGATTTGGTTTTCAAAAATCTAAAGTTTGAGAATTGTGACAGAAAAAATGTGATTGGAACTAGAAATCCACGTCCCTACGTGTGTTTCAATAGTACAGTTGCACCATTAATTTTAAAAAGAAAATTGATAGATCATCCGAAAGAATATTTCAAAAATCTGAATGATTAAAATATTAATTTAAATTATAAAATATTAAATTAAGTAATTATTTTATAATAAATTTGTTAAAAAAATATTAATATTTTAATGCAAGTATTTTTTGTTATTTTTTTTGTTTTCCCTAAATTTATAATTTGAATCTAATGCTCTAAAATTTTCAATTTTTGTTATTTATTGGTTAGTTTCCTTTTTTATATTTAGTCCCTTTTGGAGTTATTTTTCCTTTTCGATTAGTATTTCCTCTTTTTTAATGTAATATTTATAATTTTATTTTCATATATATAACAATAGTTATTTTTTTAATTAAATTATCTCTAGTGATTCAAGGTCTTAGGTTTGCTGCTTTATATTACTCAAATTAATTATTTTTATTAATATTTATTTTTTGTTCATTCTATTCAAATGATTTATATAAATTTAATAATTTTTAATATATAAATTACAAAATCACAATTAATTAATCTGCATTTTGTGTGAGAGAGGTCATATAAGGCCATATCTTAATTCGTATTCATATCTCTAATCAAGTTGACATTTATTAAGGTTGTCTCCGTCACCTCCGTAGTTCACTTCTTCCATTCAAAACCAAACTCTGCTTTCGACGGATCTCCCCTCAATTTGAAGGGGGGATGCAAGGAGTATAACATGGCCAAACAATTGACGGTGAATAAGTTTGTTATGAAATTGATTAGTTTCTATCATGCATAATTAGTTAGCTTTAGAAGTATATGCGCTCAATTGTATCTATACCTGTTGAATCATTAATTGAATCAAGATATTTTTTAGTTTTCAAAATAACTTAAAAAAATAAAGGTATAAGATCACGAGAAGGTTTCCAATTATAATGCGTGAATGATTGACCACAATTTATGGAAGGCCAATATCATCCATGGCAGCAAACAATTCTTGTTTCCCATAAAAGCCTAGCAGAAAGCACCTTACAAGTTACATCAAACAACAGTTCATCCGCATATATCTGATAGATATCTACATACTACTTCATGCCACTTATTTCATGGAGAATACCATAAGAATTTTCAACATTTGGAATCAACCTCTGCGTTTCTGAATCAAAGCACATGAATGTAAATTTTTAGTTCATTCATTCTATCCAACTGTGCTAGGTTCTATTCTATGTAACTGCAATCTCAACAACTATAACCATTCAAACAGTAGCACAAAAAATGCATAACAAGTCAACCTACTCTAGGAGGCTTTGGTACAGCTCTTACAACTACTGGAAAAAATAGGGTTCGTTAGCATGGGTATATGTCCCAGAACATGTACACTTGGGAACAGATAAAACAAAATCATTCTGTTGTTGAACACCCTGAAAAGCCAACTTGGATGAATATGAAGAACGGAACTTCTTTTGAAGCCAAAGAGATTTCGGAAAACAGATAGAATTGTTATCTGAATCGAGAATTTTTTGATCTAGATGTGCACAATTGCATCTCTCTTCCTTGGAGGAATCCACTCCAGCACATGATGTCCCCGTAGTCTCTTGAAATGATCTATTCAGAAATCTTTCTCCTGAGCTGAGCAAATTCCCTTCGCAACTCCTCAAAGCCGTTACAGCATCCATTCCACAATCAGAGGTAGAGATTCTACCCTTCATCATGGGATTTTCAGAGTTGTAATCAGCATAATCTGATTCATTTCCTTGTTCATTGGATGATAATGACTTCTGTTGTCGAATTCTGCGTGAGCAACCGAAGATACTTAAAGATGATCTCTTCATCTTGGCATACTTAGAATCAGAAGCACATGGTGCATAAGTGATCCTCAACTCAATGTTGCAACCTAATAAGAACTGCAAGGAGCTTGCGATCACTTTCCATGACTTCTCAGCCTTTGATACATGGTGGCGATGGTGGAACTCCAACTCGGCAATAGCAAGACCTGAAAATTAGAGTATTGTTCATTCATTACTCAGTACCAAGTATATTTGGGAGAGTAGAACTAAAAGGAGTGCAGTATATTCACATAAAAAACTAGGTCAAGGATATAAATAGATAACCAAGATTATGGAAAAGAAGCTGAATTTGATAGCACATACTTGGTCGATCATAGATATAAATATTATCACTGTAAAACCTTTTTTTTTATCATTTGGGGGTAGCAAACTAAGATGAGAAAAATCCATACTGCAAATTACCGAGCAGATACTGGGAGTTCCTTGAAAGAAATCAATTTAGTCAATTAACAAGCAAATTTCTCAGAGAGAAAGTGTGACAAAAACACCAAACTTAACGGCAGAAAGTTATTATACTGTGGTGCAAGAATTTTTCAAATGAATGGAAAATGAGTAGCAAGACAAAAAAACAAAGAAAATTAGAAGTTGTACTGCGGTCAACATGAAGTGAAGACAACTTCCCCTTCTTCCTGAGAAAAGTTTTGAGCCAACCCGAATGACACATCTCTGTAGCTTTATACCAAATGGAATCCAATGTTCCTTGGTGATCCTCCGACACTCCTAATTTGTATGACTTGCTAGCACACAAGCCTGTAGCAAAATGTTCCAAGCTTTGACCTGTAGATAATGTATTGCAGATATCACCATTTTTATCCATTTAAGTAATAACTTGGAATTTTCAACCTGACAAAACCACTCCATTCTGCCAATCGCATCCCAAACACCAAGGGAGAAAAGGAATTGAAAAAACTGTAATAAGCCAAGGAAAAAAGAGTCAAGCTCACCTCCATTGCATGCACCTCTCAGACTCAACTTGATATCATTTGCATCCACAGATGGATAATCTGCTGAGCTTAACTGTAGGAGAGCTACGGTGAACCATGTTGTTTGATTCTTTGAAATTCTTAACTGCTTCTCAGTTTCAGAAAGTATTTTCAATGCATTGTTTAGTTTCTGCAGATCAGCTTCCGCTATGACAGAGAAAAGTAACCAGTCAGCAACAGAAATAAGATATGACCAGAACAGTGTTTTGTCAGAGAAACACAAGCATGAACTGCAAAAATGATAAAAAGCCAATGTATTTGCTTAAAGTTAAATAGAATGATAAATTATACTTTAAACACTTACATGTGTATCTCCTAGAAAATCTACTTCTGACTTCAGAACCGCCATTTTCACATTTCCCTGCAAGGATGTCCATAATGAGATTTGCCAGCTGTGATACAAGTTGCAAAGGATCTATCCTTGATCTCAACAGCTCTCGAGCTCTTATAACTGTATTTGAAGTGTCAGATGACAAAGCCAGATCCAACAAATCAAGCAACTCATCATCAGAAACGATCCCAGTCTGCAGAACATCAAAGGGGTAAGCCAGAATGCCAAGGAAAAAATGAAGTTAGTTTGGGGGAAATACATGTAAGGAACAAAAGCACTAGACCTACAAGTTCGTAAGCTAAAGAAATATTGATCTTTTTTCCAAGCAAACTCATCTGATCAAGCATCATTTCTGCATCCCTAACAGAACCACATGATTTTGCAGCAATAAAGTCCAAAGCGTCCTGTTCAAAATCCAGACCTTCTTCGACACAAATTTTTTCTAATCTGAATACAATGTCAGCATCTTTAACCTTCGGAAAGTGATACCTCTGAGCCCGGGAAAGTGCACTTCGAGGAAGCTTATCCAAATCAGGAGTGATCATCACAAAAACAACATGTTGAGAAATGTTCTCTACGCTACTTGAAATGCTTGCCCATGTCTCCTCATTCAATAACTGGCACTCATCAATAATGAAAACCTTAAAACGTGAGGAAGCTGGAGGGATGCTTGCATTCTTAATAAGGGATTTAACCTGGTCTTGTCTATTGATTCTCACAGAATCCACTTCCTTAACATCTATACATTTTCCTGAAAAGAACATAACACATTCTCTGCATAGGCCACATGGCCTTTGCTCCTCAACAGAGAGGCAATTCAGTGCAGCAGCAAAAATCCTAGAGGCCGATGTCTTGCCAGTACCACGTGGACCATGGAAGAGATAAAATGATGTTACCCTCCCTCTGGAAATGGCACCCAAGAGAGACCTTACTACCACATTTTGTCCCACCAAATCACAAAAAGATTTTGGCCTAAATTTCATAGATAAACTTCTAGGAGTTTCCAAATTTGGACTAATCCCACCACCATTGTGTCTCATGCTTCTGTGTGCATGAAGATCTGTCTCATCAACACGCAGCGATATCAAGGGACGGTCTTCTATCTCACCATATAGATTTGATCCTCTAAACCTTGGTGATTTTGACCAACAGCAGCTTACTCCACATCCATTATCATTATGATCTAAAACATCAACATCTTGATTTACGCCTACTGAAGTACTATGGGGAGAAAAAGCATCATAACCAGAAGGGCATGGACTTCCTACATGGCTAGCAATACTACCCACTACCTCTGATGGCTTCACTTGATTCTTGCGCAGAGACTTTTTGGCTGACTTACAGCAATCTATTTTCCCTAATTGAGATGATCTAGCTGTTGCTGTATAGCATAAACCCCCATCCTTGAAATTATTACTTGGAAGCACAACACAAGCCAAGTCCAACTCTCTACCCCCATGGTTGCTACCACAGCTTTCACTTGGTGATTTATTTCCTGAAATGCACTGGAGATTAGGCTTAGAGTAAACTAGTTCACCATCCTGTTTACCATCCTGACATGACATCCCACTAGGCTTCAACCTTGAGTTCAATATGCCAGAATTCAATACAAAGTCAGCATCATTGTGCTCCCTTTGTCCCTTAAAACCAAAGTTCCTTGATCTGAAAGCAGCATTATCATGCGAATCACCCGGCCGAGCAGCATCCGAAAACCGCAGGGAGATGTCATTACCAGAACCGTTTTCCCAGTGCACATTATCAACCAAAGAAGAGAGTTTGCTCATAGGGTTGGTTGACGGATCCCGCAATGACCTAACTCTCCTCAGTGCCACGAGAGTCTTAGAAATTGGAATATCAACTGAATGTCGTCGCCCTTCCATCATTATCTCACACTTTGAAAGTAAGAATCCACTAGAAACAGTGTAACCCCCCACCTACAAAACAAAGATAACATCAACACAGAGAGAGAGACTGGTTGGAGATGATCCATTTTCCACACACAGAATCTGTACTACAAAAAGGGGTGGGGGACATAAAACAACCCAGTAAAGCAAAGCACAAAAACGCAGTTCTTTACACCATTTCAAGAAAAGCGAAAAGCATAAAAAGGCAATGGGGTCAAAATAAATTAAAAGAAATGTATAAAAATTAAAAATTTATGTGTAACTTAACGTCAATACATGAATGATGAATCATTTAATTTAATGGCTAAAAAGGGCAACATAAAGAGTAGTAGAAAATGACCTTTAACAAGAAGAGAAGAACAACATAGAGCAATGAGTAATCCTAATCCCATTGTGGCACTGACGTTTCTTCTCCGCTGCAGTGCAAGCCAAGCCTAGTTGTTTACATTCCCACAGCATTATTAAAAGGAAAAAAAAATATTAAGAAATAAGAATGGTCAAAGAGAAAAGAAACTTAGGTGAGGAGAGAATCTGGAGTTCAAATTTCCACGACATAAAATATTTGAGCGAGAAAAGAAACAAAGCGAAACGACAAAGTGGGAAAGAGTAAAAAACGGTTTGATCAGAGACACGAACCTGGTAATGGAAAACACGAGCAGTACATTGTTTTGTTCAAGGAAAAAAGAAAAAGAGAAGAAGCGGTAGCGTAGAGAGCGGGTTGTTGAAAAACCTGAGTTGGCGGTGTTGAATGCGGGTAAGGGAAATATATAAGTAGAAGGAGGGAGAGTGGCAAAAGAGTAAATGTCATAAATGCGAGGGGCCATGGCTCGTGAGAGAGGAGCTTCATAACAAGAGAAGAGAGAGGGAACATAATTTTCCTTTTTTTTATTTTATTTTATTTTATCCTCCACCAATAAAATGGTAAATATAAAATTAAAAGAGTAAAATTGAAAATGAAAAATGCATAGTAATAAATATTATATAAAAAATTAAAAATGTACTTTTATTTTTGATGAGGTGTACTGTTTAGAGTTATTGGTTAGGGGGTTTGCTTGGTTGGCAGGTGAGGGAAGTGTCTCGACCAGCGCACCCTTTTCAGAAAGAGAGGTGGGGCTGGTAGGGGCAATATGGTAAAATGGGTGGAAAGGTTTCGGTTAATTTAGTTGAAGCAAATAAAGGTAAGAGTAGGGTCGGGGTGTTCAGAATGCAAATACGCATCCACCACCACGTTCCACACTTCACTTTCCCAGGTCTACCCCTCACTCTTCTATTATTACTAAAATCAATTTTGTTTTTTTATTTCATATTTCAATTATACATTTTATATTTCAAAAACCGAAATCTTTTAACTTACCCTTTTTTAATATATCTTCTTTTTTATTTTTTAATGTTTTACTTTTTATTACACTTCTACTTATTTTATTTGATTGTGGACACAATGATTAATTTTTCACATGAAAGACTATAATAGTGTGTTTGGATGAAGAATTTAAATGGAATAATTCATTTATTTGATGAATTTCAAATTCTTTTAGGTAAAATACCTTGTTTGGATGAAAAATTTACAAGGAATTTGAAATTCAAACATTTGTAAAATTCTTTGAAAGTAGAATTTCAAATTCTCCCCAAAAAAAATAAAAATTTGAAATTCTTCATATTTTTTTCTTCTTATTTCACTTATATATTTTATCTTATCTCTTATCTCTTCATGTTTTTAATTATTTAATATTCAAAAATATTTTTAAAATTATTAAATATTATCTAATATTAATTTTTTAAATTATTAAATATTTAAAAATTAGCTAATATTTATTTTTATAAAATTTAATTTAAAAATCTCAACATATAAATATATTTTTAAAATCAATTTTATCATGGTGGAATCAAATTATCATATCCAACCTAACAATT